AGCTGTTTAGAAGGCAAAGCATAGTAACCTGTTTCTTATTTCACATTGGAATACATTGGTACATGATAAAGGAGTAAATAAATGCAGGTCTGCATAATAATATATAAAAGAAACTGGCATATTGACAGAAAGGAGACGAATAGAAGGAAGCTTTCTTGAATTTAGAACCGTCCAGTTTTTCCATTCTTTTCGTCTACTATTTTATTACTTTATGCATCCGCCTATTTCTGCAATCTGGTTGATGACCCCGACTGGAATTTTTATCATATTTTCTTTACCCTCGCCCTACGTTTGAATTGGTCATCATTTATTCAATTTGTGTGAAATATAACCTTGGGTATATTTCATCGATAATGTTGCGTATGTTAACGTTGTTGTGATTGTGTTGACTTGATTGGCTGCTATGGCTTTAATTGATGGTAGGCCTATACTCTCATTAGCAAAGCACCGCTTTGGGGGCAAAACACTTGACGAGGCCGACTAAGGCCCATTCTTCCTCAAGCTGCATATGTGATTGCTGTCCATTTGTGAAGTGCTTTTTTCCATATGTGTGTTTAGCCGAACTGAATGTTTTCTGTCCTAATGGGGCTGCCTAATTGACGCCCATTCTTGTGAGGGACTGAGTGGCCTCGGCTATGATGCAATCCAATAGAGTCCACCACACGAGGTCATTGCTATGCTGGAAGGTCATTATGACAGGCAGCAGTCTCGAATTCAACGGAAACTAAGTAGCAATTGGCCAATCCGAGAATATCTTCAAAGTGGACATTTTGTTCATGCTAACTTTGAAATTCATCACTTGTTCTCACATTTGAAGCATGTACGTCTGCATATCAGCCAGAGGATATATCGCATAAAATAATGTTATTTCATGTACATTGTTTGACATAACATGGCCACGTGCACAAAAATGTGAAAGGAAGTAGATATTCCCTCCTCAATGGGATAATTCTTTCATACTGTGAACGTGGCAAATCTTGCTTATCTATTTGAAACGTGGTTATGATTCAAATACAATATGAGAAAAAAGTAGTGTTTCGTACTTGATGAGCTAACTTCCATCTCGAGTTAAAGTGTTTGGTGAATAAATTCAAACGTCGATCCCATCTAGAGACAACGGCGGAATCCTCATGACCAGCTATCGATTGGCTTTACTGCAAGATTCTTTTTGGAATTAAGTATTGTTTTCGTGACTACTAGTAAATCAGTAATATGAAAGGTATTCACCCAATTTCGTTTAAGGTGATGAAGGACTGGTAGAAGAAGAATTTTCCCACA